AACTAGATTTGGTATGTTAGTATACCTATATGACATAAATTAGGAATAATTAACGTATTCAATTGTTTTCAGTCACTTCCTGTTTCAACGGAAATGACTACAACTTTTGATTTTTAAATGGCATCGTCGATATTTTTTTACTTTACTCGATAGAAAATGACAATCTGAAAAAATCGTATTTCAAAATTCCAAAGGGTAAAATGACTGTGTTAAAAACACTAATTTTTTTATCTAGGAGCCTCGGAAACATAGATTCGATCGTCTGATGTTCTTCATGTCTTGTCCTGGCCGGTTATAAGATGCCCAAATCGTAATTATAATTTTACCCAAACTATTTTTATTTTATTAAAAATAGTCGGCTGATGAAATGCCAGCTATAGGATTCGAACCCACCACCTTGAGATTGACGAGAGCACCTCTACCGCCACCGGGCGCCTGCGCCTTCTCATACTAAATATTAGTTTTAAAGATTTTATATATATTAAAGAGAGTCTAGTTAAATCTGTCTAAATGGAAAGAAACTTTTCTTTATCTAAAGACTTAAATAGAAGAAATAAATTTGATGTAGCAAATTTTTAAAAATATTTAGTAATCAATTCATTTCTTTAATAAGTAACACTCGATAATTAAAAAAACAAGTAGTAAAGTTTTTTTGTAGAGTATATTTCAGTTTTGACTGCGAATGAAATTTTAGATCTTCCAAACTTGTGTAATGTAGTTAATACTTTAAAATCGTCCTATAAAGCAAACTTGCATATTTTTCATATTTTAGGCATTTTTGGAAAAGTCATTCACTTTTATCAGGAATAGGGTACATATTTAAAAAGTGCATTTAAAAGAAATCGCCCATTAGTCTGATCAACGCCTCTATTTCATAAAACTATACATAAAAATGAACAATAATTGATTACCTACCTAATTTTAGGCCCATCTCCTTACTGTGCACACTCTATAAACTGTTTGAGAGAATGTTATTAAATCGTATCAGCCCTAACATCGACGATCAGCTAATACCGGAGCAAGCGGTATTCAGACCGGGAAAGACCTGCACCGCTCAAATTCTGAACCTCACACAACACATTGAGAATGGCTTTCAAACAAAAATGACTTCCGGAGCTGTCTTTGTTGACCTGTCGTCGGCATATGACACAGTAAATCACAACCGTCTGATATATAAGATTTATCAAATGACGAAGGACTACCAACTTGTACAAGTCATCCGCACCCTGCTTTCTAGCAGACGTTTTTTTGTCGAATTGGGTGGTGATCGAAGCCGCTGGAGGATTCAAAAGAATGGCTTACCACAGGGGAGTGTTTTGGCTCCAACTCTTTTCAATATCTATACAAATGATCAGCCGCTGAGCCAACACATCAGAAGCTTCATTTGCGCAGATGATTTAGCAATAGTTAGCCAAGATAAGGATTTCTGTAAAATTGAAGATAATTTAACATTACACCTGACCGCGCTAATCCAGTATTACAGAGATAATAGCCTTAAACTAAACGCCTCAAAGACTGTCACTAGCTTGTTCCATCTAAATAACAGGGAAGCGAACAGAGCTATAAATGTCAATTGGAACGACCAGCAACTCAGATTTTGCCCACGGCCAACTTATTTAGGTGTCACATTAGACCGGACCCTGTCATTTAAACATCATGCCGAGAAGACTAGGGCCAAGATCTCTACAAGGAACAACCTGTTGGGGAAGCTGGCAAGCTCCACCTGGGGGGCTAATCCACACACACTAAGAACTACTGCTCTTGCACTCTGCTATTCTGTTGCCAAATATGCCGCACCAGTTTGGGAACGCTCCTGTCATGCCAAAAAGATAGACCCGATGCTGAACCAATCGTGCCGTCTAATCACCGGATGCCTAAAACCCACATCGGCCCAACAGCTACACCTCCTCAGCGGGATAGCTCCAACCCACATAAGGAGACAAGTTTCCAGCATGAAAGAGAAGCAGCAAGCTCTTTCCGATACCTGGCACCCGCTCTTCGGACAACACGCCGCTGGACCCAGGTTGAAGTCCCGAAACAGCTTTCTTTCTGCCGTCCAGCCACTTGATAGCAGCACGACATCCGCAAAGAGACTAGAGTTGTGGTCAGCAACTTCAACAACTCCAAATGAATTTGCGCTAAGGCCACAAGAGAGCCTACCATCTGGTGCGGAACAGGCATGGCCGGTGTGGAGAAGCCTGAACCGTTTGCGTACTCAGGTTGGCAGATGCAAGACAAACATGAACCAGTGGGGCTACCTTGACGGATCTGTATCCTGTGAATGCGGAGAGGAACAAAATATGAGGCATCTTCTCGTATGCCCAAATCTCCCAAAGATATGCAATCAGAGTGATCTCGCGGAGGGAAATACCAACGCTCTGGCGTGTACCAAGTACTGGATATCCTGTATATAACTGCTGTATGCATATATACTTTTTGAAGTTTGTCTAATTCTGTACAAGTATTGTTCCTATTTATGTTGATTGTTTGACTATGTTTTTTTTAAATGTGTGATGTGCCTTTTTCATTAATTTAGCCGTTTTGTATATTTTATATATATTTTTGTGTTTCTTCATTTTTTTTATATATATTGAGTTGGACACGAGTAAATAAATAAACCTACCTAATTCATCAAGCTAAGAAAAAATCAAAACATTTCATAATAAAGTTAAGAGTTATTAAAAATAAAGCCTAAAACTGTCATATAAATATATTTCTATGCAGTTTTTTTAAATAAAAGGCCATTTTTTGGTGGAACAATTAGTTGAGAAGAGTATCAATTATTCATAAATGTGAAGCTAGTTCTCACTGACTATATACGAATGTAACTTTTAAACAGCTCTACAACATGACTGAGGTTATCGCCATGTCATCGATTTAACCGGTTCTACCGAATATTTCCTGTCGATTATGGCAAAACGGTCAATTGGCTTCGAAACTGGTACAACGGCGCGATCTGTCCGATCCATAAATTCGTGCGCGGGACAATTTACAGCGAATCGTGTCGTTGGGACGAATAAAAAAATCGTCGACAAAATTATAAGGCCGTAAATCTTGCCGGTCGGGGAGTTGCGCGTTTCCAGCAAATATCAACCGGCCCGGCCGGCATCAAAATTCAACTGTAATGGAATATTTTATGGGCACGATAAACTATTCCAGTTTATCCGGTGATATTGCCAAATAAAAAAAAAATATTATTAAAAAACGACGATCGTACGATAAGTTATAACACAACAGAATTCAAATGAAAAATCAGAAAATTAACACCGGGTTTTTATGAGATCGTCTAACAGAGAATGAACATTTATTTTGAATGTATATGCTTAAGTGCCGTTTTTTTACAGAAGCTTGTTATAAAAAAGTGACAACAAGAAATTAGGATTACAAACAATATAGTTATCGCATATGTCCTGAATATACTATAGAAAGAAAGATTCTATATACGTGGTGAAATTCGCGAAAATTTAACTTAGGAGGAAAAAATTAAAAATATTTTTAAATTTATGAAAGATATTAATATACACCACCAACTGTGATACTCTAATCCAAATGTGATACCGTGATGTAAATAATTACCTATTTTTCTTGTTGTCTGTTTTCTGTTTCTCTATATTTTGTGTTTAGCTATTTTGATCTTTTTGTCACTCAACTTGAAATGTTTATGTCAATGTGGATTTTTAAATTTTGAATTGTCCTTGTAAAAGTGAACGTATTGAGATAGATCCCTGTAATTGCATTGTTAACAATAACAAGTTGTATATGGTTAATGATCGTGGCGATCGATGCCTAGGGAAAAAAGTTATCTTATGCTACGTTTATGTCATTGGTAGATATGCCAATGCGGCAAAGATTAGAATGGTCATTGATGGCAATACTGCGGGAATTGTCAGATGAATACCTTGGAACACCCCCATAATGAAAATACCACTTCTCCAACTCCCAGTGGATGACATACCAAGAATGTAATGTATCGAGAGTTATTAATAATTTTGAAACACATAGGTGCGTGTCCCCACAAAGACACAAAAAGCCTGATGTGTTGATTAATGAAGAACAGTAGTTAAGGCATGTGTTCATTTGTGCTACCGCGGATTAAAATCCCACGTTTTCAAGTAATCAAATTGCTGAGGTGGTTGCCCTGCCCACAATGCCCGTATTGTTCAAGAATATTTGAACAATACTTTTCCCAACCGTTTAATTTGTGGATATGGAACTATTTTGCGGCCCGCTAGAGCACCAGATCTTTCTCCCAATGATTTCTTTTTGTGGGGTTATGTAAAATCCAAAGTGTATGGCCATAATAGGGCTAATAATCTGGATGAGCTTCAAGTAAAAATACGAGAGGCTTTCCAAACTATTAGCCCTAATATGTCAGCCAATGTCAGACGGGGATTTTACGACGTTCTGTCTAGCACAAGAAGGTGGTCTTTTTGAACACTTGTTATAACATTTTTTTATTTAGAGTAGGTAATATTTTAGTTTTTTTGGGGTTTAGAGAATTTATTTATTTTTAGTTTTGGCTTGTAAACACACTATAAACAACTGTAAACACACAATAAATATTTAAGTATTTTTATTTTAAATGTTACCTTAAGTGAAGGTAAACACTTAAAATGAAAATAATAAATACTCGGCACTCCTCGCGTCGTATTCCTAGTGTCACGAATGACCCGTTCAAGCACAACTGCAACTGCGTACTGCCTGACCAGCCGACTAGCCGGCAGTGAATCTCGAGTACGAACGCAAATCGGGTTAACGTAAATTCGTCCGGCAACTTGCTATGTTACTAGTAGCCTGGTTTTCTCTGTATAAATACACGTAAAACATGTGTTTGATACTGATAAGGCTTTGATACTGTAAAATTCACACAAAAAGTAATAACAAACGAAATGCTACAGTTTTTGATGTTTGCTAGAAGGCTTTTAAACACTTTCGGTCCTAGATTCAGTATCGTTCAAAATAATATTTCAGCTTGAGCCTAATGATATTATTGCGCATACCTGTATAGGGGCATCCCTATGGTGTCCTTGAACCAAAATATCATGTTGACATTGTCACCCGGCAGTGCAGGAGTAACGTCACATGGTAGTTCAGCATCGTGTCCCGGAACTGCCCATACTACTTTAGCTGGCACTGGAAATAAAAAAAAATATATTGTAAAAATAAATGTCTTAATATTTCATTAAAATAATAAATTTTAATAAAATAGCAAAAAATAATAATTTTCGTGTAACATTTCAAAATTTGAACAGCCAGCTTACTGATTTATTTCTGACTTTTTATGACCAAAAATATTTTAACAAAAGGCGAATATATTTTTAATACGTTTCTTGAATTATACTAACAAATTGATATGTCAAAGAAATACATTTTTGTGCAATGCATAAAAATAACACCAATAACTATATCCATATAAGTTAACCTTGAATCTTCGTAATATTTAAAAGACACATATTATATTCTGGATTTTATAATTTTGTTTGTTCGTACTGTTTGTAATGAAAATATTCGACTGCAACAAAGTGTTTATTTTGGAACCTAAATAAACAAGAAATATGGCCAAGTTTTAGTGTGTTTAATGTGGTAATTAATTAATTACTTGGCTTTGATACTGTAAGGAGTAGTATAAATAATGTAAGACCAGTTTATGTAATCAAATTTGAAATAAAGCCAAAATAACACTACAAATTTATAGAAAATATCTAAATGCGTACAAAGCATTAAAAATATCATTTTGATGATATATGGTTAAAATCAATAAAATTAGATATCAATTTATTCTAATTTAAATATAGAAAAAAATCTATATATTTGTAAAATATCTATAAACTATACCATTATCACAATAACCATCAACTTTATGAATCAAGTTAATATAGGAACTAGAAAAAATATTTTAATTTATAATAAATATTCATATTGATTCATATTGCTTGAGTTTTTGAAGCATTGAAGGGTTCAGTAAGTTGGAAAATATCATCAAGGATTATTGGTTTAGATTAACAGCAACTGTTATTGCTAACGAACCAATATGCTAATGGTACGTATATGGAATCTACTTCTTTCTACCGTATATTGCGGACATTCACATATAATGTGAGTTACTGTCATCTCAACATTACAGACTATGCGCATTGGAGGCATTTCTCTTTTAAGCAGATAAGAAAGTCACTGCAATATGCCCAATACGAAGACGATCCACTCTGGATTCATCCGCAGTATTTTAAAATCATATTTATTAGTATATAAGCAAAATTAATGGTATTTCTTTTAGCAGTGTGCTGATCAGCTTTATGTGCCATACCAACGTGAGTTGTGTGAGTGGACGTAATATCTAATAATACAATAAAAACAAATTATATAGTATGCATTTTTTTTATGGGGTATATGTTCAATGAGGGGTTGTGCTGGAGAGGTAGTACTTTTCATCAAGGACGGTGGCACTCAGCGATCTGATCGTTGAGTGGTCGGCGATGACTAGTCCTCACAGGACACCCAGCTCCCACTTTATGGCTCCACGTGCCACACCCCGGTAAACCGCATCCACCTGCGGGCTAAACTAAGTGAGGGTAGCCAGATATGGCGAAATCGCAGCGTCTGACTCAGAATGAGCGGCTGCAAACAGCGTCTGACCCAGAATGGGCGGCTGAATCACATACTCACCAAGACGTCTTGCCAACGTGGTGTTTAAATGGCTAAATACCCCCTATGAACATGCCAACTGTAAAAACAAGATTACCCCAGGCGAGTAGAAATAAAAATTCGGAATCTCGCATTGATGTTAAATCAGTCTGTCCCAAGGATTCTGGGGGGGGACAAACATTTGGCGAAGAGAAAGACAAACTCTACGATGTATGTTGCCACATACAATGCACGATCGCTGTTGTCAGAAGAACGATTGACAGAACTCGGATATGAACTCGATCACATCAAGTGGGATGTGGTTGGCCTCTGCGAAATCAGAAGGCGTGGCGAACACTTAGTTAAGTTGAAATCCGGACACAGCTTCTACTTCGTGGGAGACGAGAATAGCTCTTTTGGTGGAACCGGCTTTCTAATACACAAACGACATAGGCAAAACATCGTGTCTCTCAAGAAAATCTCAAACAGGGTTGTATATCTGGTTCTCAGGCTCAACACCAGATATGAAATCAAGATCATTCAGGTCTACGCACCGACGACCGATCATCCCGATGAAGAGGTGGATATATTCTATGACGATGTGGATTTTGCTCTTAAAGACGAACGAACACACTTTACTATTTTGCGCGGAGACTTTAATGCCAAAATGGGAACAAAGTCCTATCCTACGGAGACTTCACTGGGGGGTTTCGGTCTGGGGGACAGAAATGAGCGTGGGGAAACACTGCTCGGTTTCTTACTGCAAAACAACTTGTTTCAAATGAATAGTTTCTTTCAAAAAAGGTCTGCTAGAAAATGGACATGGAAAAGCCCGGACGGGCGAACTAAGAATGAAATAGACTTCATCATTACCGATAAAAAGGCATATAGTTAAAGACCTGACGGTGTTGAATAAACTAACCACAGGAAGCGACCATCGACTAGTGCGAGCCAGTAGAATTGAACTTAACACAGGAAAAGAACGCCTTAAATGATTAAAAGGCTGGTAGTAGATCATGGACAAAGCCGGCAGATTTAGAAGGTTTCCAGAGCTGTATCACAGAACAGCTACAGGATTACACGCAGGAGAACAGTATTGACGGTTTAAACGAAAACATCACAAATGCGTTGTTAGAGAGTCAAAACAGGTACTGCCCCAAGACACAAAGAGAAGAAAAACTCAGTAAATTTACCAAGAGACTTATGGATAAAAGACGGGCCATGAGAAGTGAACAGCTGACTACTGTCGACGAATTAAGAGATATAAACAAACAGATATCAAAGGCCATTAGGCGCGACCTCAGAACATTTAATCAAAACGAGATTCGACGGACAATAGAAAATAACAAAAGCATGAAAGTGCTACGAAAGAGTCTTCAAAGCGGAACAGCTGGAATAACAAAAATCAGAGACCATCAGGGATATATCACGACCAACAGGGAGGAGATCTTAAAGATAGTTGAGGACTTTTATAGACTGCTGTACCGAAGTCGGGGGGAAGGGACACAGGATTCAGAAGTCGAACCAGAGATATTGACATGGACAAAGGGCATCGTAAATCAAGGGTCAGAAACACTACCAGATATCACACTTGAAGAAATGGAACTAGCCTTAAGGAACACCAAGAATAATAAATCTCCCGGCGAGGATTGTGTGGTCGCAGATGCAATTAAGATTGGTGGTGAATGTTTGCTTCAGAAGATTGTGGATCTTTTCAACCTTTGCCTTTTTGATGGTACTCTGCCTGGGAAGTGGTACAATGCTGTAGTAATACTACTTCACAAAAAGGGGGACATAGCAGATCTAGAAAACTATAGACCGATAAGTCTGCTTAGCCACCTTTATAAACTGTTTACGAGGATAATAACAACACGACTCGAGAAGAAATTGGATTTTTACCAACCGATAGAGCAAGCGGGTTTCCGTGCAGGGTTCGGAACCAATGACCATCTCCAGAGTATTAAAATTATAATAGAAAAATCCATTGAATACAACAGGCCGCTTGTACTTGCTTTTGTCGATTTCCAGAAAGCTTTCGATACAGTAGAAATGGATGCAGTGATAAGGTCCTTGCAAGAATGTCGGGTGGACTATAGATACACAAGGCTTATTTACAATATCTATAAAAACGCCTCGATGACGGTAAAACTACACGAGAACACTAAAACCATACCGATAGGCAGGGGCGTTCGTCAAGGAGATACTATATCACCGAAATTATTTACCGCCGTTTTGGAGAGTGCCTTTAAAAAACTCGACTGGGAGGGGAAGGGACTGATGATTGATGGCAAGAACCTCACAAATTTGCGTTTTGCTGATGACATTGTTTTATTATCCGACAACCTAAGGGATACTGAAGTGATGCTCCGAGAATTGCGGGAGGTGTGTATCGGGGTTGGTCTGAAGATCAACTTCTCAAAAACCAAATTCATGACCAACCTGGTTCCCAGTGGAAATATTGTTGTGGGTGACAGTGAGGTGGAGCTTGTGGATAGGTATAACTACCTGGGACACGAGATACAGATCACAAGAGACAATCAGACATGCGAACTGAAGAGACGTATAACCCTGTCTTGGGCCGCCTATGGAAAGTTAAAAGATGTGTTTAAGGGCGACCAGCCAATCTGCCTAAAACGAAAGGTTTTCAACCAATGTGTACTACCGGTTATGACGTATGGAGCTGAGACCTTGACACTGACCATCGCGTCTGCTAAGAGGCTCAGAGTGGCACAGCGACGAATGGAAAGATCAATGCTTTGTGGGATCATATAAGCAACGAGGATATACGTGCGAGAACAGGCGTCATCGACGTTGTGTCACGAATCGCTACACTCAAGTGGAAGTGGGCTGGACATGTGGCTCGAGTGACCGATGGTAGGTGGACCAAAACACTGCTCGAATGGAGACCGAGAGCTGACAAAAGAAACCAGGGAAGACCACCAACACGGTGGACTGACGACATAAAAAGGATCACCAATAACTGGATCCAGAGCGCACAAAATAGGCAACAGTGGGCGCCAATGGGGGAGGCCTATGTCCAGCAGTGGACGCAAAGGGCTGGCTGATGATGATGATGATTTTTTTTTTCATTTTAGGGTATTATTTTAAAATATTTTAATAGAGAACATAATCTACTCTTTAGGAAGATTCTATTAAATTGAAGGATTTGAAGGGCATGTTTGTGTAGCACAAAAGTGTAGTTTGAAATGTTGAAACAGTAATAAATCAAAAAAATTACGCGTAAAAAAATACTTGTTTATGAGTAAAAAGTGGTTCTCTACGCATAACAAATAGTTTTTTACGGGTAACCAATAGTTTTATAAACGCAAAAAATAGTTTTTTTACGTGTAACAGTTTTATTTGCGTAAAATAAAAATTAATAAAAATAGTTTTTTACGTGTAACAAATAGTTTTTTACGTGTGACAAATTGTTTTTTACATGTAATAATGTGATTCACTTTTACAAAATTTGTATTAAAATATCAATATTTTTGATAAACACAAATACACGT